GTAAAATTGCTGGAAACTTCTAGGGAAAGAGGAAAAAGTCCAAAATGTTTACAGATAAATATGGAGATTTGGGGGCAAATGTAAATATCTGCACTTGCTCATAATTATCAAAAAGAACACTCTTGCAAGGGCTTGTTATAAGAAAGACATCTCAGGTAAGAAACAGTTGGGATACACAAACACTTTGGATTGGAAGTCACTGGACTTGTAAGCCAGCAGTAGGCTTCTATGCACCACATGGGAGAGACTGGGTCAACTGGTCAGTAATGAAGAATCATGATCCCAGAAGTTGGGGTGGGGGGAGGTTAAAAAAAAAAAAATAGAGCCAGAAGCACCTTCAAAAAAACCCCCAAACCACTCCCCCAAAAACACCATCCCCAAACAAGCAAACAAACATAGGAAGTCACCTCTGGAATTTAAGAAAAAATAGATCAGGGAGAGGCATGACAGACTTCACATCTGCTTGCTTCGCAACAGAGGGATCCTATTGTATGGACAATCTTCTGATCAAATAACTCATTTCTGCACCTGTTTTCATAAACTGCATTACGCTAGTTCTCCACCAACAGAAAAAGCATCAGCATCAGCTTCATGTAAGTTCTATAGACAAACCACCAGACTAACAAGAAATGAAGCAGATATATTTATTATAATGTTATTTTATTGCAAATACAACTAATTTTACTACTATAAAAGTAGTGTGCCATACTCAGTCTGAACTATAAATGCAATTTTCCTCCTGGGTCAGCTGATGTCAAGTCTTGATATATCGTTTAGTGGGAGCAAGCTCTATTCCTTTCACGTTAAAGAGCTATTACCTTCTAACAAAATTTCCTCTTACCCATTTAACAGGGCCATTATATCCCTGTGAACACGAATTCATCTGCAAGCACAAAGTCTTTGTGACTTACATAATTACTCTAAGTCAAAGCCTGGGCTTACATTCCTTTGACTCTGATGAGGACTTAGTCTGTGACCTGAAGCAAATCACTGAATATTTATTCAGGCATCCCTAAAAGTTGTACAAACAACTTCGTTGTAACAGATATTTGGAAGCTTTATCAAACATGTAGGCTGCTTTAAAAGACAAAATGATTGCTACAGGCTTGCCCTTGATAGAAAATCTTCTGCTGACTTCAGTAGGAATTGGAATAGGCCTTTAAGGAGCCTACTGAAAACCAGACTTGAACCATCTAATGCAGGATCTAATTGATTGCAATGGATTGGTAGGGGCTTCCATAACTACAAGTACTGCTTGTGCAAGCACAACCCAGAAGCAGAGGCCAAATAACGGTGAGAAATACCAGCCTTACATTTTGTGTCTGCTATAAGGCAGTTACCAACACAGTTCCTGTTTGGTTTCTTGGATAAGCAAGAAGATTCCAGTTTGCCCTCCAAATGCAATCTGGTCCCTTAAAAGCACACTTAAGTCCATTCAATTGGGAATGATTGAACATAAACCAAAAAGAAGCATTACTCATCCTAACGTGAATTTAAGAATATGATTCTGGGGCACAATAAATGAATCTTTCAAAAATCCAAGATAAAGTGACCACGCTGCTCAAAAAGGATGCTGTCAAATCTTGTATCAACCACCCTGCCTTTAGTTTCTTATGGGGCAACCAAGTAGCTTTGCAAGAAAATACTTGCTTGAGGAAAAAATACAGCATTGCTTCAAAGATTCAGAATGCATTCGTATTTTGAACTCATCTGTCAGCTTCTAGCTCAAGGCAGCAGAACTCTATTAGTATTTACTTAATAATATATGTTTAATATTTTACAAATGTTATTAAAAAGCCACAGACAAGGGTAAAAATCTTAGAAGTTAAAATAATACACCAAATTAGAGATGAATAGAGCTGAGTAGAGATGCTAATTCATCAGAGTCAAGAGAATAATCTTCTAATCAAAGACCTGTTTTCTGTGGCTTTTATGGTTTACCAACAATGAATGCTTCAGATACAGTTTCCAATAGTTGGGGATTTTCTTGTACTCACATAACAGAAAGAACTAGATATTTGTGCAGATAATGAGGTGACAAAAATACCTCCTGGGAGAGGATACTGGGATAAGCCTCCATTTCATCAGGGTCTAATTCCCATCCCTGCACAGTGAAAACCCCATCAGTTCAGCTGAAAACAAACCATTTCAAGATTTTAGAAGACACGATAATGGTTTCTCCTTTATAAGGAAAAGAAATCCTAAATAGGTAGACTTTGCTTCCCAGAAGCATCTCAGCTGGGAGATTAAATCTTATCTCACATCACTGAAGATGCAGCTGGTAACAAAGCAAATGGAGAACGAGGCTTTGACTCTGTGCACAGGCCCAGAGATAGTGATTTACCCAGTCCTGTCATCAAATGATGCTGCAGTGGGTCTGCATATGAGTTTGGCTCACAGTAGTTTCACATCCTCTGGAACAAAATTAGTAATATAAGGACAGGGGACCATGCTCTACTTAGCATCTTGAACATAAACAGGTAACTCAAATGATCCTAACTCTTGGTGCTATTTCTAGAGTTGAAAGTAACCTCTCCTGTTCCTGTAAATGTTTGCTCTTATGTGCTTATGAACAAAATTTCCCAATGAAAGAACTGACTTCCAGTGCCGAAAGACTGCAAAGAATGGAAATGGGCTGTGTGAAATTTGCTTAGAAATTTAAGCCATGAAAAAAATTAGAGAATTTTCAGTAGATATCAACTCCATCATATCAGAGACTGTGATACACAACATCCTACTTCCTGGCTAGCCTGAATACCAGGCCAGTTTGGGCAGACGGTGTCTGCTTCTCCACCCCTACATGATAATGCATATCACACAGCAGAATACTCAATGAAGCTAGATACTTCTTAAAAAAAGAAAATGGCAATGAAAGATGAAGCACAGTGAGCAATCTGTAGTCATGGATTGGAGAGCACCATTTTAAACTGGAAACGTTATTTATTGCACTAACACTGTAATTATAATGTAGTTTTTGTAGAACAATTACTGTCTTTATTAAGTGATTCATCATAGGCCTTGCAGTTGAAAGCAACACAGGTAATCTAGAGATTACTTTGGTGCTGCAGAGATGAAAATATAGTTCAGCAGCAGAGATGGACCATCTAGCCTGAAATCACCTGGTGACCACAGTTTTCCATGTAGCCATATCTAAAGGAAATGAGAGGCAGCCCCTGGGAGCTGCACCTCTACAGACAAGTGCTTAGGATGCACCTGAATAACATGGCTGCCCACCATAACATGAGAGCACGTTTGAAGCAGCCACCTGTATTTTGCCAAGACATGGTGTATGGTCCCACGTGTGTGCCAGAAGCAGGTGGCTGAGGGAAGGAGCTTGCTTTTCAAGCTTAACATCTGTAGAAATAATAATGTGCTTCCCAGAAGCTCTAGTATTGCATTGTACATTTATATTCATCCTGGTATTTCTGGGATATGCTGAGAATTGTGAGAAGACTTGGTAATAAACTGCTGAAAAATCTGTTCATTACAGCACAGTAATTTGTTTTGATATAGCCAGGAACACAGATCCAAGTCAGGATAAAGTTAGATGAGGCAGCATACATTATGCTACCTTGCACACCACAATCTGTTACAGATGAAAGTATTTTATGTAGGTCAGGCACTGCTTCCCTGGAGACAGACAAAAAGCCATAAGGAAATCGGAGCAGTGTTGGGCCTTATTCCAGTGATCCAGTCTACTCCAAAGTCTCAATTATGCAGAAGATTTGTGTCTCTGGTCTTGTCTATCAAAGTACTCTTCCCAATCAACTTCTGCAAGGCTAAGTATAGCAGACTGGACAGCATGCACCTCATGATGCAAAACTAGATAAAACTTCTCGCACTCACACGGAGACAATAGTTTTGTCAGTTGGAAAAAGAAAAGAAAAAATCAAAGTGACACTAATTTTCAACTCATCGCAACGCTGAGCTGCAAAATCAGGTTTTGGGAACAGAAGGCAGCTCTCTGGCCCTCACAGTGAGGAGAATGGTGTTATTAAAAGAAGCAGTCTTGCATTTCTCTCTCCCTTTCCTTAAAACTGTGCTCTAATGTAACCGACAGGGGACCTGCGCTTCAGTTGTGCTGCAATAACACTTCATCTCTGACAGGTGGGAGAAAAAGAATTTCAGGAACCCAGAAGTAAAAATGAGTATTTTTTGTTATATCTCACAGACTTAGCAGAAAATCCTATATTTTTAAAATAAATTCCTTTTTTTTTGCTACTGTATAACAGTATGCTTTTATTATGGCAACTAAAAAGCACAAAATAAAAGCTCCCACTAACATTTCATAGCAGAGTTCAGAATTTAATTTTATAACGCACATCATACCATTTTTCATTACCACCTATCTAAGAATTTCTCTCGTATCAAAAACCTGAAAGATTCTCAAAGAGAACAGCACTGTATTTTCAGAATGGTATTTAGCTGTGAAGAGATATAGAAGGAAGTACACAAATCACACACAACACTGCATATAGTAAACAGATGAAGAGTGTATGATGGAAGAAGAAAATATGTGCACTTATGCACTTTATGAATATCTTAATTCCCCTCCAGAGGGAAGGCAGCATAAAAGTCTATATATTCCAGTTTGCTCCATAGTGATTTTCCTAATTTAAATAAATTGAGAAATCTAGAAAGGCTTTTCCCATTATGCCTGTGAGAACCTATCCTCCTTACCGAGTCCAGGATCATAGGTAAACAGGGAGTTTTAGGTATCATCTCTGCCAAATTCTAGCATTGTTACTTTAATGAAAGAATAATACCAAATTTTGTATTTCTGTCCTTGTCCCAGATAAGTTCTTTAAAAAGATATAGGAGCTTTTGCTCTTTTTTTTTTCCCTCCCTCCTCAAATACAACAATGTATACTACTGCAGAGCTGTGGCTCTCCTTTGCATGCCATAATCCATACATTTTTGACTGTTTTTTTCCCCACACAATAAGAAGCAAGCTCTATTTTAAATATAAGCCACCAGTGTTGGTTGGTTATGTTCCTTACCCTGATTCCAAGCTCCACATTTTCTCCTCCGTATACTTCCATGCCTTCATCCAATAAGCCAATCTCTTGGAAATATTCTCTATCTACTATGAAGCATCCAATCAATGCAGGACTTCTGGAAGAATAAACCAGCAGCAACCAAAATTAGCAGATAGAATATGGACAATTGTATTACTCAGACATAGATTATAATTGCTGGGTCAAATGGTGTGTCAAGACAGATTCTTAGGGAGGTGTTTCTCAAACAGATTTGTTCAGCTTTGTCTTCTAATGTTCTTGATTCTATGGTAAAATAAGCACCATTGAAGGAAAACAGACTCAAAATTGTTGGATGTACATATTCTCCAGAACAGGTAGGATTTCAGTGCTAACAATACTAGATCCAGGAGCCCCAACTTTGTTTCTGAGGCACCAGCCATTCTAGCCTCTGTCCCTGCTAAGTCCTCAGGTTTCTTGTCTGTAATAATTAACAAGGATACACAATGATGCATAGTTTTGTGTGTTCAGCCAGAAGCTAGGTTCATCTACAGCTAAGAAAACTTGTGTCTGTAAGCTTAGGTAAAAGAGATTATTTCTTGAATAGGAACATCCAGATAAGGTTTTGTAATACAGAATCAAGAAATGTCTGCCCTTACCAGCATATTGTAACATTAGTCCATTGTCCTGAGCCAAATTTAAACAAGTCACATATCTTTGCCAAATCAGTAAGCTCTATTTATGTCGTGACCTGAATTAACCAACTTCTACTATGCAGAGCCAATCTTAAGAAGGTAAGAGTTCATGCACAGAGAGTACAATTTTACCTTTATAAGATGCAGTGGAAGAAAATAGAGAGTAATTTAGCCTTTTCATTTTTCTCCTATCTTATAATGCACAATGGCAAGAAATAAAAATGTCTTTTCTGATCACTATGCTGGTATCGGGAACTCTGGTAACAGGATATTAATTAGCAGTACAGGGGAAATCATCCTGTATTTACTGGGAACATTCAAGCTGCAGTAAGTGTAGACATCTGCTTTCAAACAGATTATAGGATGTCTTAATCACAAACTGTACAATTCTACAGAAATCTATACATTTATACCTTTAACCTGAAGTGCTACAGTACCCACTTTATAACAATGAAAGGCTGTTTCTGATATATTTATTAATGAAGAAAATAGCGGTTCACTTCAAAAATTATGCTTCTTTTATGACAAAGTACCTTGCTGCTGGTGGTGTTTTTAAAGTATTTTTCAGAGTACCTGCTTTCCTTTGTTATAATTCTAGAAGCATATTGGAGGCATGATAGAAGCCATCAATCAATACATGTGGCTTTTTTTTCTTTTAATTATCCAGCACACACATGCAGTGTATTGCACTGAATAAAAGGCACCAGGGAAAAGGGCTAGGGAACAAACCTAAACATCCAGTATTCATAAAGGACATTCACTCCACAATCCTCACATAGAACAGAGTTTTGGAGTAAAATGGAAAAGTATGTTTGCTCTTTATTCTGAGTTTAAATACTTTTAATTTAAAAAGTCACCACAATTAATATAGAAGGTTTGCCTCTCCTGGACTTAGTACGATATTTCAAAGCATTTCCATAATGTTATCAGAGTTCATTAACACTGACAACCATCTCTAATGATGTGGAAATTACCACCCCTTTTTACATATATCTGTGGCAAACCTGTGAATTTTTATCTCCTACTTTCCAGTTCTAGGTCCTGTTCAGGCAGTTCAGAGAGTTTAAGCTGACGACTCCTGAAAAAAAGCTGTCTGCCTGAAAAGACAGACCTACTGGATGAAAGATACCCCTTACACTGACTGCATGGAAACTGATTGGTAGTGATGACCCCCTCGCGCTGCCACTGCTATTTAAGGTTCTACTTTGCAGCTAGTGAAAACAATCTTCACGCTTTCTTTCTGCAGAGAGCTAGAGTATAGGTACCAGTGACCTCCTTGGTATGAATGCATGGCTAGAAAAAAGGCCTGGAATCTCAGCAGAAGTGCTGAGGGGATTCAGAGGCACCTACTCCCCTCCCCAAGATAAGGGTATTGTTCTGTACCAACCTAACAATATTCTAGACATGATATGAAAGTACAGAGCTAGATGGCACCAAAGCAAGGATCTAATACAATCTTTGCTCACACACGATCAATGGACCAGCATTAACTCCTAGGACATAACACAGCTGTAAAGCTATGTGACAGTATCATAAAGAATATAACTGTCAGATCAGTTCTGTTTATATAATGTATTTGTAAAGAAAATTCTGTTTCTGGCCCATTACCACTAAATTAGTAGAAAAGACATTTGGAGAAAGCAGTGCTGCTGAGCATTCAAGTCTACCATTTCACTTCAACTGTGTGTTTTGCCCCATGCTAATAACAAGGAAACTTATTAAAAAGATACTGAAAACAACAGTTTTCTTGATGACTGTGTAGAGGTCAAGGACAAAAGCTGAAGAGGACAGCTCAAGGACATTTAACTAATTTAACATTACAGTCAGTAAAACCTGTTACATAGCTGAGACCACTCACCATCTGTCATATCTAGATAAGCATTGCCAGTGACACACTAATCTAGGTCACAGCTGCATGTTACCTTATTGGAGCAGTTGTGTTCTCCAGTTTCCACCATGATTTAGGAGGGTTCAGATATCGGCACCACAGCTCCCAGTCAAAACCCTGCGCTGAGAGGGGATACTCCTCTATTTCAAAATTATCATACTTAATGTTATCAAATGATGGAGAAATTACTCTTTTTCTGTCTTCTTTTATCCTAGTGAGCACTGGTTCAGCCCTAAAAAAAGAAAAACAAAATGTTAAGATTATATCAGTGGAAGCTTAGCACTTATGGAAATCATAGAATCATAGAATAGTCTGGATTGGAAGGGGCCTTTAAAGGTCATCTAGTCCAACCCATCAAATAAATAGCAGGTTATGCTGTATATTTCAGAAGGGGCAAACTCTACAGCTGTTACTCATTCAGAGCTCCCTTGGCTTTGAGATGGAGTTTTGACAGAGCAGGATCTCCCCCAAAATAACACACTGCAATATTTTATCTAGGATGCCCTATTATTAACTTTCATGTTAGCTAGTAAATGGAAGAAATAAGAATCTGCATATCATAGAGCATTTACACCCTTGCTACCAAATAACAATAACTTCAGGCTGTCAACATTATCAAGGACATCAACCTCAAAGTTAATAACAGATCTACCCTAGGGACAGAAGCTCCTGCCTTTTTACCACCTTTTTACTCAAGAAGCAACAGAGATATTAAATCCAGACTGAACAAGTTAAAATACATAGTTTTAGTTATGCGCTACTTTTGCACAGAGCGGCAACCTCAGTGCCAAAATGACACTGCTTTGTTTACACTGTAGAACATAAAAGAAACATAATATTTTTAATCAAAAGAAGGTAAATTTGCCCTTATGGGCAAAGGACTACATTATCAGAGGAGGTTTTTAACGTGCAGTTTTCCAATATAGTTTAAATACATTGTAATTAGACCAGCAGATAACTCGCCTATAAAAATGGATCTAGATTATGTTACGCAGCACAAATATATTTTCCATGCTGGTGTCCATGATTGTGTCTGAATCCTCATGAAAAAGATCAGAATGCTAACTCACCCTCTATATGCAAGAGAAATGCCATTCAGTAATTTATAAACAGTGCTTGAAAAAGGTCCCTTGGTCAGAGAAATTCAAGGAGACACATACCATCCCACATTGAATTCCACATGAGCATCAAAGAGAGCGACTACTGGTGCTGTGGCTACTCTCCATCCACTAACTCGAGATCGAATCAGCCCCTCTTGTTTGCTGTGTCGAACAACCTTGATGAAACCAGGCTTACGGGCGTTCACTTCATCAACATACTTCTTCAGTTTCTCCTTGAGTTCTTCTGTGGAAAGGAAAGAACTGGATGTTAAGAAGAAGTATCAGCTTGACAAGATGTAAAAACCTGTTCTTTCAGCAGAACAGGAGTCTTCACACATGGAAATACTCCCTTTTGATGCAACTACTAAGAATTCTCAGTCAAGTCTAAATGGAGGCAACCAAAAAGTAGAAGGACCATAAATTATATAGTAATAAAGAATTCCAGGTGTAACTATTTAGTCTACATGACTGACATCAGAATCCTGCCACTGTTTAATGTGCCACAAAATAAAGCACTCAATCGTCAAGTACCACAGCTACATAAGTGCATATTAAGTTACTGTAGCAACAAACAAGATAACTATTTTATATTTCCAGAAAAATATGCCCAAGTATTGTCCATGAACTTTCTTTACCAATATTTCAAGAAAAAAAAGTAAGAATAAAATGAATTATTTATCCTTTTTCCATGTTTCTTTGTAAACTTCAACAACTCTTTCTATCTATACCAAAAAAAGTTCCATGACTTCTGCCCTTTTCTCAGCAGAACAAAGACCAGTAAAAGTACTGGAGGAGAACAATTCCTAATTAAAATATGGTAACTTTTAAATAAACAGCTATCATCTCTCTGGTTTAAAGACCACTGCATGAGAAAATCCAATAGGTAGAGCTGAGGTATACTGTTCACTATTACTATTAACTGAAAATACTGTTCACTACTATTCCTTATTAGCATTGCTATGTTCTATTTACGTTAAGGTACCACTCAGAATTCCCTTGGTGATATTAAGTTCCCTTTCTTCCAAATCTCTCCACAAATCCAGAAAAGTCTTTGCTGTGATGCAGAATAACGTTCCTGTGGTTACGATGCTAAACTGGCTATCATCAAATCTGCATTAAAAGCTCAATGCTGCCTACCCCTTTCTGTGAAATCTTGAGCAAGCTACTTAACTCCTCCATAATCAGTTCCTCATCTGTGAAATGGGATCACCACACTTATTTCTTCTTTTCAGTCTATTTAGACTTCAAACTCTAGAGAACACCAGTTTTCTTTTTCTCTGCATTTGGCCAGTACCTAGTGCCCTGGGGCACTGAGCTGAGGGGAGGCTGCATCAGACAAGGGATGGCACCAGAGCCCAGCAGAGGAAGGAGCAGCACCCAGTCATCAAGTGGTGTGGGAGGGAGTACAACTTCTGTCGTGTTCGCTGGCCCAAATTGCTTCACAATAAAATACAACAGGGTTTTTCTTTTAAACCTAACCAATGAGACTTCCTCGTCTATTGTTTTGCTGACATTAGAGGTACAATCTGCTCCTAACTAGGTGCCAGGGGGACATTTCTGCACTGAGCCCAGGCAGCTTCTCAACATGATAAGCCAACCACGCTGCGAAATGGTCACCTCAAACAGATCTGGGCAACATGCACACTAGAATGGTTAATGCAACAGAAAATTAAAAGCAAGCCCACTTTATTAGCCACATTAAGTGTTCATCCTTGGAAAGGAGATGGATGTGTTCTCTCTTAGACTAACAAAGAAGAACAGAGCTGTTTCACAAGGGGTCCTCTAACCTAAAGACTGTTACAACCCGTATGACCTCAGTGGACCTACTGCTCTGAGGATATGGAGGAAAGGACAAGATGGTCAAGTACAAAGACTCCTCAAATACACCCCTCATTGTAAAGACTCTCAGATAGCCACCAGGTGTAGATGCTTTTGCAGCTGGTTCCATGGCATTGCAGGACTGTGCATGCCACATACATTTGTGTAAATGAACTCTGCATGGAAGAGAGAGGACACCTAAGAAAAGTGCTGATACTTACAGTTTTTCATAAAGAACAAGAATTAAAAAGAAATAATCTGATGGCCATGTCCATCATAGTACTTAAACTGCAGCTATATTTTAGGAATGGACTCAATATATTCCTAGAATTTTCCACATTATATTGCCAATATCTATTCAAATTGTTTATCTATGACTGCATTGCCTTGAATAAACAATATGATGCACCTACACACATAGCATAGAGCACTATTCTGCTTTGTATTAGATTTGCTGTGTATTGATCAATACACTTTTTCCCCTTTATAAAGTCAAAAAATCATACTCAGGTTTTCTACCATGTTTGTGCAAAGCCACACTTTCTTATTGTTCATCCCCTAACACAGAGAGATTTGTAGCAAGCACAAAACTATCAAACCAACCACTAGCTAAGAGCACTTTAAATTCAAAAGAAGACATTTACGGTACTGAAATTGTGCCCACCTAAAAATAGTGCAAAACAGTTCTCTATTCCCAAAATGTAACATTGTGGAGGGTGAATATCAAAACATGAAGATCAAAGCATTGTTCTCAGTGTAAGTGGCTGTTCATAGCTTTGCAAGACCAGGAAGCTTTATTTGCCACAACAATGCAGCATCACCACTGAGTATAAAATCTATAAAGGAAAGCAGGCTCTAATCAAGGACTTGAAAATCAGTACCCTTGATAGAGTCATTGTTCTCTCAATCACCTTCGTTTTTAGCTAGCGGGCTATTCTTATTCCTGTCATATACTTTTCCTAATGTGGACTGACTTTATAAGCTTGAGTAAATACAAAATCTTTTTTCATAGCTAGGTGTAGTACAGAAATAGGTGGAAATGGAATAGAACCCAAATCTTGGCTTCAGCTGCACATTATAGCTGTGACATTTACTAGGCAGTACACACTTCTAATTTTCCGGTTACACTGCAGCTTTTTGCAAATTAAGTGAATGAGGAACCTTGAAGGCTTTCCCATAGTCAGTCAGTATGGAGGAATCCTTCCCTGGACTTCAGTATCAGCCTCAGGAGGCGAAGTGCTGCATTTTACCTAATCTTCAATACTGGCCCACAAGCAGTGACTTACTCTGTAGCATGCTCACAGGAGACAAAGCAATAATTTTGCAGTCAGGCGTTTTCTGGCCTTTGTTATTTAAAACAGATTAGCCTTGCTTTGCAAAGGCAGAGTGCTGAGCAGAGCATTATGTGCACCCTTCGTCTTACAAAACCTATTGGGCAGACTCTCCCAGAAGGAAAGATAAGTCTACAAAAAAAGGTATCATTTTCACTCAGCCACAGGACACAGCACACATGTAAATGAAGCTAAAAAACTCACTATTTTGGGAAGAACATTAAAGATGCCCTAGCAGGATACTTAAGTCAGTTTTTTTCATGCATTCCACATTTTCCTGAGTTTTACATGAGAAATCCGAGTTCAGTTGTCTTTGACAATTTTAGAGCACCCTGCCCAACTGGACTGAATGACAGGACTCTCCCCCTAGACCTGATCATACACTTTGTGATGGCGCTGATGGTCTTCAGCAATATATTTTTAACCCATGCTTTGGTTTTTTTTCCATTTCAGATACATTGCCTGAATAATAAACAGTCTTTTTCATTAATTATTGTGCTTCACTGCTTTATGCCACCATAGGGAGAAGAAAGGGAATGAGCAAATGTGTCATCTTCAATACACTGTTGATTCGGTTTCTAATTGTGGAAACAAACAGGCTTATAAAGATAGATGCATATGCCTTTCAGCGCAGAATCTCTCAAATAAGGATTCAAATTTGACTAAGCTGAATGAGTATCTGGAATTGGAGAGAAAGAGCAGCCGTATATGGAATGGGAAGATGGTGCCGATATGGCACTTGGAAACGTTGCACTCTATCACCTGTCTCTATACAGTACAGATGTCCGGAGAGCACAGCACAACTCTCCTCATAAATGTAGAAAACATAATTAATGTGCCATAATTATGTTTAATATTAACATAATTAAGTTCTAATACTTCTAAGAGGTTGGTTGTTTGTTTTTAACAAACCCACCAAGATTTTGTTTGTCAAGTTTCCCTATTGAGCGTGACAAAGCAGTGCTAAAGAATTCATGTAATTTTGCCTTCTTAGGAAGGGGCAGAAGCAAGGCAGGATGGAGGCAGGGAGCATAAGGAGTCAGAAGACATCAGCCATCCCACAGCTACAGAGATTGTATATGAAGGGATCACTTAGTTCATGAAAATCCCTTCACAAGCCATCTTCCTTTCAGGATATGGTCTGAGAGAATGGTGGCTTGAGAGGTGCTGGCAATGCAACTGCTCTCCTTGCAATACTGCAGCTTGCTTGGGTTGTGCGAGTGGCTGGTCCTAGCTCAGAGGGGCGATCTGGACCGCAGCCCTGCCTCCTCTTTGAACGCTGGGAGGGTTGCAGCAGGCCATACGATATGGAAAAGATTTCTCAAATATGCCCCAGGGAGTTTCTCAGAAGGAAAACCATCTACAGATAATGCCCTTCATTCAGTTGGGTGCAAGTGGCCTACATTTTGTATGCCTCTACCCTCCTGAAATTGGGAAGTTATCAGGCTAGATGCTCAATGATGTAAGGTGCCTTAGCCCCTTACTCCAGTGTCCTACAGCAGCTGTGGATCTGTCCCCAGACTTCAAATTTTAAAGTTATTGATACAAACAGTATTGTCATAAATAATGAATTACTGCCTCACATTCATAGAGAAGTAGCTCAGAGAACAGTCAATTAAGCCTCACTTTCAATAACTTTCATGCTTTAAGGTACTCCCATTCTGAGTGCTTAAATGAGTCCTCACATCTCTCTGAACTATTACATTTGTAAAGTCTAACCTCATGCTTTGCTGAGACAGATGCATTTTACTGACTTATTAAAACTCTTCTTCTAGCTATAAGTTTGCCAACAGAGCTAAAATAATAAATAAATAAATAAAAGCTCTCTCATAACTTTATGCATTTTCTAAAGCCTACAAGTCCCTGTTGACTTCGGTGCAGCAGAATGCACGCTAGATGTTATTGCCATCTCTGCAAGCCTTGTTCTTTTACCTTAAGGAAAAAATTTATTTCCATGTCAAAGGCCCAGGAATTAGCATGTCCCTCTTTAACCTGAGCACAAACATGGCTTCTTTTACTGTGAAGGGAAAGAAATTACTCTTCAATACAGAATGGGGTTTAATGTAACAATTATCCTCCCTGCGCTAGAAATTGT